ATTTACTGATGGGGAAAAGGGAGGGAAATGGGTGGGGGGAGGAGGGAAAAAAGGCTGCATACAATTGCCATAAACACTTGATTGAGACAAAAAAGGCTCACCAGGACTCATTCAGGTAATATCTCCAATCACGAAACTGTTGGAGGATGTGATTTGAGTCAGAGGACTGATTACATACTGAAGTTCATCAAATTAAGGCCAGCATGTTTCAGAATGATTTTTTTTCCTAGATTAAGTGTTCTTTACGGAAAATATGAAAGTGGTGTGGATCAGGAAACCATTTACAGAACAAAATGCCTCAAGGATACCACTGGTCTCCAGTGTGATCAGAATGAGAGGATTATGCTGAAAGACACCTCTATCAATCAGCTGTGTAAGGAATCCTCCTCTCCCCACTGCTTTCTTCTATATTTTTCTTGTCACTCCTGTACCTCATAACACATTACTAAATTAAAAATAAAATTAATAGCATTTATTCTGGTTTTTTATGCTTTCCCCTTTGCCTACAGTACATAAAGTCTGTCAATCTGATTTATGTTTCTCCTCTTTTTCCTTTGTTTTTATCATCTTTGGTTTCCCCCAGGCCAGAGAAGTTACAAGGTGGTAGGGATCAAATTCTAGTTTATTTATGTGGAAGAAATAAAAATGCACTTCCATAACTGTAATTTTTCTCTTGCAGCTCTATGAACCCCTGAAGAGTCACATCATTCAAGTTACTAGTTTTCGGTAAACAAGCAGCTGGATTTTGTTGTACTTATTCCTTTCTGATGATTCAGTCTCATCTACTACAATGATGTAGACAAAAAATAAAATCTTGGGCAGTATATTTTTAGCAGAAAATCTCATGTAAGAGACCTCTGAGACCACTTTTAGTGACAACTTTATAATATTTTCCAGGATTTAGTTACGGAAACATCCACATTATATATAGAAAATTATCCTGATTTACAACAGCAATGAATGTTTTCACACAATTTATTTACAATGAACAAATTTTTATTTTTTTCCTGGAAATTTCTAGGAAAAATGCAAGCTATTTATTTAAATTTCTTAATCTGTTTAAAAGAAAAAAATATATATAACACAGAGGCAAATAAAAGCTGTCTTCTGCTTGTATGTCTGAACTTTGCTTCAGATATGAGACTTCAACCTTTGAGGATGGGCTGAAGTGACTGACTGGTAGGGGAAGACCCCTACTAGCCCCAGCAGCTTGACAAGTTACTGCCTTCACCCAGACCCTGTGGCAATCACCTCCCTATGAGTGGTTCCTCCACTGCTGCAGTCAAAACAAGCTGAGCTACCAAAGACCTGTTTATTCTTCAAATGGCAGCACTTGCTCAGGTCAGCAGAGGTGGCAACAGAAGGCGAGGAGGAGGAGGAGGAGAAGGAGGAGGAGGAGAGGGCAACAGCAATTAGCAAGGGAAGGCTACAGGCTGCAGCCTCTGATGGGGACATATTTGCAGCCCGAGAAGTTTTCTCTTTAGAGGAGTAGCCACCTCTAAACTCCTGCTCCCTGTGTGACTACAAGTAAAATCAGTAGTCTTGCACTAATCAGTTTTCTGCAGCTGACTAAAACTGTGTGAATTTATCAGTTACCATCTATTTTCTGCTCAAGAGATGTGTAAAGCTAGTTTCTCTTCTCATTAAATTAAAGCCCAAAACTATGTCCTCTGCTGCTAGATGCATAAAACTACCCTCTTCCCTCCAAACTAAATGAGACAACTAAAAATACATTTAATTATTTCACCCACAGACCTCTAATTGCTATCCCCATGAATTTATGATCAAGCAAACATTTAATCTCATTTAATGGAGAGGTGCACGCTTACTTCAGAAATCTGAATACATTATAGGTTACCAGATGATAAATTTGATAACACAGCTGCTGTGTTCTGCTTAAATGGGAGAAGAAAACTGCCATGAGGGTTTTCACTCAATGATTTCTCCTGGTATCAGATGGCTCTGATTGGAAACAATTTTCTTTTTACAAATAAACAGAAAGAGTTTATTTGATCTGGCTTATTAATAAAAATTGAAACTCTTACTTATTATTTCTGGGTTTAGTCAGGCTTCATTTCACTCTATTGGCAGATTCAAATTTTCCCTAACCCTTGTTTCCTAATGGTCCATGATATTCCTAAAATTTTTAATCTGTGCTTTTCATATATTTCTTTTTTACACTTGGAAAATATCTGAAGAGACCTGTTTTGTCTTAAAACTAGGTATAGGTTCATGAAGAAACAACACAGCCTGCGGCATGACACCTCAAGTTGTTAAGAGGTTTTTTTCCTAAAACTGTATCTTATTTTAAGAAGGGATTGGTTTCAGCTACTTTCTCCACATCTTGCACCAACCTCTGACTCTCGTGAACCCAGGTCTGTTCCCAGCTCAGCGCTCCGGGTGACGAGACACGGGATTTCAGTGTTGCTCACTCTTTGGAACACCAAGAGCTCTGAGTGCCACATGTGGACCTGGCTGGGACAGGGTGATGTGATCACACCCAGGGGCTCAGGGGCTGTTAGGAAAAGAGCAGCAGGCCAAGAGCAGATTGAACCTATGTCAACAACGCAACACCGGTGCCAAGCGTGTTACAGCAACCCTTCAGAGGCGGACGGGCAGCAGAAACAGAGGGAGGGATGGTAACGTGTTGGTTTGCCACTGCAACACTTCACTAAAGCCACCACATCGCAGTGGCTGCACAGCCAGGCAGGGCTGGGCTGGAAACCTGGGCTGGGACAGGGGCTGACATGGGGTCTGGGACAAGGTGGGGGTCCAGGGCAGCTGATTCAAAAAATTTCTATTTCAGTGATAATTCCTGCAGGAGCTGGTATTTTTCCAGCTTTGAGTTTAAACTTCTGAGCATTCTTTATTTTCTCTGTATTGTTGTCCTGAGAATCAGACCTTCGATATTGTTTTCTACAAGTTCTAGCCATTTTCCGAGAAAAGTAACTATAAACATAAGTGTTTCTACATTCCATTAAATATACGCCTTTTCACAGATGTCTCTCATTGCCAGTGCAGTTAGGGAGATGTTAACCTGACTATCCAATCCCTAGTCGTGGTTGGAAACCTATAAATACTGAAAAAACAAATAAACAGTTCTTTCTTTCACTACATCTTGAGCTGCGTCCATGTGAATCATTTCGTGTCCAACAGTGACACTATATTCTTTATATTTTTTTTATATTTATATAGATATATATAGATATATCTATATTTATCTATCTATATATATTTTTAATATATTCTTTATTTTATTTTGGAGTAGGTTTTTCCTGTCATGCAGACCCTGCAACTGCCTGTAAAAGCAGGCAATGACTATCTTGAGTTGTTGGTCTCTTGCTTTAGCTTCACCATTTTATATATTATTTTAACAATACTCCCTTACATATAAAATAAATGCAACTGAAACATAGGTGTGCACCTGCTGAATTATGTTTTTTGGAAGTAAATTATAATATTGGCTGTATACTATTATAATTTTCAGTAATGAGGCAATACATTTTCTTTCACTTGTTTTAGATTTTACTAATTAAATCTTGGGGTTAAACACTTGAACTTTTTGTTACCACAGGTTATGTTCATTTGCATCAAATACTTGGTATGAATTGCTGTGCAAGAGCTACAAAGTAGCTGTCTGAAATACAGTTAAGAAAATGCATAGCTTTAATTAGAGAAAAACAGAACTTAATGCTCAGGGAGTGCAGATTGTATTGAAGTCACAGCAGAATTGCTTCTCACCATTATGAAATTCTTTTGTGGTAATTTAGGGTAAATTGTACTTTGTTCACTGTAGAACTAGTTCTGATCAATTTTCTTTCTCCATTTTTTCTTGACTAGAACTCTAACTTTCTCTGATGTTTAAAATATATTTCTCTTTTTAGCAACAGTTTCTGCATGTGTTGCATCTTGAAGACAATTGCTCATATTCTAATTGCTTGTATGTGACACTAAATTTATAGCTTCTAAACTAAATACACAGGCTATATATATATATATGTATGTATGTATGTATATATTAGTTTATTATATTTTATGTAAATATCTCACATTTTGAGAACTCAGCCTAAACAGTCTGTAAACCTTTTGACATGAGTTGACCTGCTGACCATGGACTTGTGTAAAATCTGTTGAATAATTCACCTTAAGTAGTACTCAGTGTGAGTTTTGACACTTTATTGCAATAGACATACTCCAAATAATTCTATTACTGGATATTTTAATAATTAGTCTAGAGCTCTGACTTTTAATTTTCACTCAATTCTTTGGCCAGAGTAGGAGCAGGGATGTTCCTTCCATGACAGGAGATTGCCTCAAGTTCCAATGTTTGTCATGACTGATGGACTAGCTACAACTGCATCTTTTTCTAGATAATTTGATTACACTGAGGGCTTTATTTTTGTCAGTACATTTATTCTATATTAAAATTAGACATGGGGCAGAAAGACTTCCTTAGAAACTCTGAATATAAAAAAAGCTGGTGATAATATGTGTTGTCTCTTATTGCACCTTAAGTTTAAAATACCTCCCTCAGGAATCATGGCTAACTGTTCGCAGTCCCTCAGCTCTTAAAAACTCAGTTTTTATTACTTTTACTCTAGAATTGCTTAGGTAGTTGTAAAGAAGCTCCAGTTCCATAGGAGACAATTGAGACATTTTTGTCCTGGAAGGCCTCAGATATAATATTTTTAAGTAATATTGTGTAAAATTTTACTTTTAAAATTATTAACTATTAGATGAGGACTCTGATATCATGGATTTTGGTACTTGAAAAAGAAAGATGCTTTAGTATAAATAAAAGAACTGAAAAAATCCCATAATCTTTATTCTGAATCCCTAGGTTTTTGGCTATGACAACTACTTTTCCTAACACTTCCTCCTAAGAGGAATATGTGATCCTGGATTTTCTTCCTAATGTTAAGCTGAGACAATGCTAGTTCTGGTCAAACATACTCAGAACATAGAAAATCAATTATTTTGACAAATTTTTAAAACTTTCTTCTTTTTATTTTCCTTCTTTCTATATTTCTTTCTCACCTACCTCAAATTAAAATACGTTGTTAATTGTTATTACTGTTACTGTTCTAGTCAGCACAGCAATCCCCAAAATGAGGACAGAATAATCACTGGTGTCCTGAGGAAAGTTACTGAATCACATAACTCTGATATTGTTGTTTGTACAATACAATTCTGAACAATTTCTCTGCCTGGTCCAGGTGTTTTCACATCACGAGTAGAAGGGAGAAGGGATTACTGGAGAGATGGCACAACCTGAAGCTGTTACAGAATCATAGGGTTCCAGCCTTGTAATGCTAGCTGTGATCCGAAGTACAGTTATGTAACACTGTAAAAATAATCAGCAATTATGAAGAAATGTGAAAGGATATGTAGCAACACTGTGTCCAGTATCATGTTCTGTTTGTTGGTTTGTAGCAGCATAAAAGATGAAAATATTCTCTGTAGAAACTATTCACATCTAAGCAGCATTAAAACGTTGTTTGCACTTAGGAGAAAATCTCAGGGGTACAAAAATTGGCCCTGGTTTCTTCTGAGCTACAGAACTGATCCAAATGTTCATCTAGAGACACCTCAGAGGAACTGGCTGAACTGTATGACTCTGCAAGGGCTTTGACCTTGATGAGACAGACCTTTAGATAAAAAATAATAATGAAAGTTGTAAATTGCTAGTAATTGGAGAAGAACTAGCTTTGTGGAATTCTAATGAATGTAAATGTAATTAAACCACTTAAGAGAGCATCAGTGGCTGCAAATTTCTATGAGTTTAAACATAATAAAATTTCTTCAGATAGTGTCATTTCTAGCAGTGTTAGCCACTGCCTCATGTGAATAGCATGGACATAAGGAACATTTGTGATACATAGCCTGTTAAAAAGTCCCAAAAGGTTCCCAAAATATAGCTAGAGTAGGTAATGATGTATTTATCAGGACTGAATGGGAAATTGAAGCTTATTAAATGAGAACTCGTGTGATTTTAACCTAGAAATCATGAACTCTGAATTCTGTTAACCAGTCTGATAATAAGCCCTCCATACATTATTTTATTAATATTTGTATCCTATGCATCCTATAGAACTAGAAAATTAGAATATGCGGACTATTGTTGAATTTCTTAAGAACCTTAATGGAAAAAACTAAGGTCACTCAAGTGACAGTGGTCAAGATTATTTTTGTTTTATGAGTAGGAACTTAAATACCTTCTTAGAGGAGAGTAGCAAGTTAGGACCCAGGTTCAGAAAAAGATTTTGTTTTTGTTTTACATTCTCTAATGAAAGGTTAGAATGAAGACAATCTGTTTGTTAGAATTCTGAAACATAATTCAATAAAGTTCAGAGAGAGGAGAATGTTGTCACTGTGTTTGCTGCTGCGCATCTTCACTGTGAAAGAAGTGTTCTTGTTAAATATAAGTTTTGAGCTGGAAACTCTCCCATTAGTCTGTTTTCCTAAAATGAAATAATACATCTTTCCTGATCTTTAAGAGTTAGAAAAGATTAAGAAAAATCCTTTTTCTATAAATCTTCAGTTCGTAATGGGACATAGTGAATTATTTGCATTTTATGATTGAAGGAAGATGGGCAGTTTATACCACTACAATTTCAACTATATCTGAGCATTTAAATGAGCTAGATGCTGGGATCTAAATGATCATTCATTTGGTCCACCATTTCTTTAATCAAAATAGAGTCCTGCCAGATTTCAAATGGGAATATGTTTATTTAAATATTTGACAAGAAAAGTAAAAAAATTTCCATCTCTTGTTTACCACTGAAACTCATTTGGGGAAAGGGGAGGTTAGATTAAACATTATCTATTATTTTTATATAAAATATATAAAATTTATATATAATTATATTATATATATAAATTAATTTTAAAATTATTGAAAATTATAAAGTCAAAATATGTCATCCAAATTAAACATTTCAAATCAATGGGAGGAGAATTCCTTTTCTAAAGGAGATCTTACTCTTCCTTTACTGTGTGACCCACCTCATCTGCTGGGTCTTCCAAGTGCAGGGCACTGTTGCCCACTCCATATGTAGCACAGGAATACGTAGCCAGGCCTTCTAGCATGTCTGTGTGAAATTACTTGGTGGCTGCCAGAAGAGCTACAAATTGTGCTCTGACTATTATAGAACTTCAAAGACTGTCAAGATCATATGTGATTTGCCTAGGAGATAAAATGCATATATTTTTTTCACATCAAAGCAAGTCTTATTTGTTCCCTTTAATTTACAAACTAAGTATATAAATATATATAGATACATATTTGTATACTGCATATTTTTCATTAAAAATAAACCATTCTCATCTAATTAGTCTCAGTTTTGACCTCTGTGAAGTCAAAAAAATCATATGTATTCCTTAGAACATATTTCTGTACATATTTTATGAAAGTATTTTGTCCGTATGTCCTTAAATTAAGTATACACAAACAGCTTTGAAATACATTTAGTAAGGAACTATTTGTTTATTGCTGCATAGATCACTTGCTGACAGTAAGCAAGTTTTTAGATAAAAGAAGGTTCCATTGAGGGTTAAAGCTAATTGCCTTTCGTTTGGTTGGGTTTTCATTGTAAATCCTTAGGAAGCCTAAAAACATTGCTTTAGTTGATTTGCTAAAGAAGGCTTTCATTAGAGATACACTGAGCAGTGCTTTAATCAGTACTTAAATCCATCAATTTTAGATAATTGGTGCTAATCATAATTTCTCAGCATAAAAGGACACGAGCAAGGATTTTTGTCAACAGCAAAGTTGAATGATACATGAAGGCACAAGGCCTTTCAGTCACCTTGCAAGCTCACCCTCAGTCATAGAACAGAGCTGTTCACTGTGCTGAACTTGTGCTAGATGTATCAAAGGCCACAGACTAATAAAAATCACATACCTGGAATTATGAATTTTGGCCACCTTGCAAGAAATCTGTTGTCCAGTGTAGGCACCCACCTGAATTTTCATAACAGGACAACAGGGCAGGTAGCACCAAGTGGCTTGTGCTCAAGCAACTATGCTCACTCTCTCCTTACAAAAGCAGGATAATTTCATCCAGTCTGATTTCTTTTGGACTCTCAGTCCCTCCTCACCCTTTAGCAGTGACCAAGAAGTGTTTGGATAGCACATGGGTTTAGACTGGCCAGAGTTTTGCCATGGACTTTGCCAGCAGTTCAGCACTGTGTTTTGTGTTCTCTTACAGATGTGGCCCCTTTACACAAAGACTGAAGTGCCTGACAAATCCTGTCCATTCAGAAAACTGGGAACTGGGGAGGAACTGGAGTCTATTATCTTCTACAATGTAGTCATGAGGCATAAGGATGAGAAAGTCTTGGGGTTTTTTTTAAGAAGTGTTTGCTATCATGTTTGAAGATATACTATTTCGAAGATTATTTGCTTGGAAGGAATTACTGGTGAGTTCAATACCTTTGTTAGCCCTGAAAATCTCAAAGGCCCAACACTGTCTGTTAAAGACTATGCTTCCCACAGGTCATTCTGGAATGAAAAAAAACCAGAGAGGATTATCTTGCCTTGTTCTCACTAAAAATGGCCAGTTGTACAGCAAAAAGATTTACTCATATGTGATAGAGGAGAAAATATTGTGTTTCTGCACAGTAAAACATCAGATTGGGATAGGACAGCTGTGAACTAACCAACTGTTTTGGAATGCAGCCTCACCACCCACTCACATGGAGAGCCAGAAGGGAAAGTTCCAAGCACACCTTGTACCTTGTTGCAGACCTCGCTCATAAGATTTGGGCTGTAATTGTCTAAAGTGGTTCTCCTCACCTGACCCAAACAATAGGCTTTTGGTTTGGATTGTTACCAGCCATGGAAACATTCAGGGTTTAAATCCCTTCAAGGCTGAAAAGGGAATTCAACTGGTCTCTTTTCTTCAGGATAAGTGCTTTAAATCATAGTTTATGAAATAAAATTTAGGAACAATATATTTATGTTGTCTCAAAGGTAGATCCCTGCAGTGAGTTTTTCAGCCAACTAAATCAAATGAAAGTTTTCTAGGACAGGTAGAAGAGGTCTCAACAGACTTGGTAAATGAATGCTTTGTTACTAGACATGTCTAGTCCATGAAGTTGGTTATTGAAAGCAGGTTTTTGAAAACAAATTTGTTACATTTTAAAATGCAAGTAATCTTTCATGTTTGAGATTTAAATTATTTAATTCAGCTTTATACCTCTCAGATGGCTTCTATGAGAAACAGATGGCATAAGTTTAACAATAATGTACAGGACATGGCTTCTCTTTTTAAGTAATTTTAAAAATTTCAATCACAGAACTCAAAGATTGGCAAATGTACCAGCATTTTCTAGTGCACCAACAGTTTCAAGATGCTGCTTGACAGGATAGGAAGCATTCTTCATCCAGATGTCTGAATTTGAGATATATTTTAATGTTAAGAACATAAGAATCACCTTCTTAGAACAGAGCAGTACTCCATGCTGTCAGCCAGGGAGCAGTGAGTCAAAATGTTGCATCTGAAAAATCAATGCATAATCATTACCAGTGCAAAATCATGCAGATTTTAGCTATATAGTAATCTAATATCATATTCCTCTTATGTATCATCTTATACATGCTACATTTTTAATTATTCAGATTGTAAAATATAAATATAGTTTCTGAGCAAAATACCATCTTCCCCAGAATCAGCTTTTCTTCTGCAAGATGAAGTAATCACCTCTCCATGGCAAGTATGTCTGAAATGCTAGGCTGGGAAAAAAGATAGGTCAGAATAGATGGCCATTGTAGTGTTTTCTGAAGCAAAATCTATGTTACTGTAACCATGCATTGTGTGATCTTAGAACTACCTGAAATCCACATGGTCTTCACTAAATTAATGCACAGGCTTTACAGCCTATGTCGTCTTCGATTTTGCAATGTTCAGCTGGCAAAATACAAGAGGATAAATTTAGGGCTTTGTTAGGCATATCTGAATGGAGAGAACATAATGTTTTTGAAGTAGAATGTGGAGCTTTAGCCACCTGTCTCCAATTATACTCAGTGTGACTGCAAGATTAAAATACCATCTAGCTCACTGTGAAAATATGTCCCATAGCATCTCCTTTTAGCTCAGAAGCATTAATGCTAATAACAGCCCAACAGAGAATCAATTTTATTTTGATATTCTCAGTGATTAAATATTTTATACAGAGCTCTGGCAACACTTTCAAGACCTCTCAAACACAAAACTGGAGTTGAAAACATGTACTGGCACTGACAAAAACTGCATGTGAAAGAGTTTTTACTAAATGAATGACTAGCACAAATGGTAGCCAAGAGAATTACATTCACCTGAAAAATTCATGTGAAGCAGAATATGAAATCAAAAAAGCTGTGAAAATCAAAAAACAAGTATTGATTTCAATTTAAATTATCAGACTGGAATGATATTGTTGTTGTTGCTGTTGTTGCTATTGTGAGTGCATGGCTACTTTGCCATTTGAAAAATCTATGCAAAACTGGACAGTACTTTGGTTGCTACTATACAGAAAATTTTGTAACTGGTATTGATGCCAGATTTATTTCTAGACTTCCTCTATTCTTATTCTCAGATACAAGGCTCCAAGGTCATTCTCATGAGGAAAACCACTTTAGACAATTATAGCCCAAATCTTATGAGCAACCAAGGTCATTTACTTCTGAGAAATCAAGTGCAAGCCATAACAAAACTCATTCAGTCTTTCAAATTGATAGTTAAGTATTACTTCTGACAAACTCACAGCCTGAAGGTAAATCGATTAGCAAACCTGGGCCATCCTGACAGAAATGTTAGCTATGGAGATACTGCTGAAGGTATCATTATTATATTTAGAGTGTTTAAACATATATTTCCATTTTAAGTTTCAGATGTTTCATTTCAAAATACAAACATGTACCTTTGCATTAACTACACTTGTCTAAGATTTTCTGTTTTGTTTAACAAGTGCTCCTGTTTAAATTCCTTTCTAGAAAAAAAGGCCAAAACAGACTATGAAAGAGTAGCCATTGAATCAGACTCAGAAATTTCTTCCTCACATTTTTCATGCAAGATTCTGATCCTAAACAGGACAGTTTAGACTGTCTTCACTACCCCATAGAGTAATACACTTTAGAGATGTTAATTCTGGAGAAGGTTAACAACTGAAGTACTAGACTTTTTCACAGCAGGGATCTTTGAATAACCTTTACATCAATGCCCTTTTTTTTCAGAAAATAATAATTCAAAATCAGTTCATGGATGAAATCTAACAGACTGCATTTGGTATACAAAGCACTACAAATGCTAATTTTATAGAAGCACTTATATGAGAAAAAAGAAGTTATTTCCCTTTCTGCTTCTTAGTGTTGAAGCATTTAATCTCTTATTGTGTTTGGAAAAGTAACATCTTCCATTTTCAAATGGGGCAGATCAGACATGCAGAACTGAATCCCTGAATATCTAGAAAGTACAAAATTAGGCTTCAGATCTTGTGATGCCCTGTTCCAGTTCTGCAAACAGAAAAGACTAAAAGCTGAGTTATAATATGTAACCTCCCCCCACAGCACAAAAATGCTGTGGCAGAAACATACCTCACATCTTTTCTATACCTTTACATCATGTTTCATCCTTCAGCACTGTACATTAAAGAATACATTTCAAAAGAAAAGGACATAAATGATCTATTTGTATTACCATCATTTTGCAGAACAACATAACCCAATGCCATTCCCTGTTAAAAAGGAAGTCTATCATATAAGTCAGGACAGTATTTGAACAAATGGATCCAAATGATCAGATGTATGAAATATAATTCAGTGCACCACAATTTAGGTCACTGAAAACACCACAATATAGAGGACCCTGTACAGATGACCAGGACAGCTGTGTTTTGACCCAGATGAATGAAGGAGTTTTCCATTTCTTCTCAATGCTAGTGGGGCTGTAGATTTACTCTTAGTGCAGACCTTTGCATTTTCTTTCAATATTCTTTGTGTTTGTTGGACTTTTTGTCATGCCAGCCCACTGCCATCTCCTCTACTCACTCAGACAGCTTTACTTTTATCACTCATCACCTGAATTTTGTGCAGAATCATCAGTACTGGAAGGATTCTCATACTCCTGTTGAGAAAAGGAACTTTTTATTCTTGTGCACCTGCTGAACATTTGTTTGCCTTTCTTTACAAAAGATTTATACCAACTATGAAGAATATCAACACACTTCAATTAAACTACATAGGGTCATAAAATCTCCTGAGTTGGAAAGGACACAGAAAAGATCACTGAAATTCAATTCCTGGCCCTCCTCAGGACACAAGAGTCTTACCATGTGCCCGAGAGCATAGTCCAAACGCTTGCTGAGCTCTGTCAGTCTTGGTGCTGTGCTCACTTCTCTGGGGAGCCTGTTCCAGTGCCCAACCACCCTCTGGGTGAAAAACTTCTTCCTATTATCCAACCTAAACCTCCTCTGTCTCCCTTCTTCTTTGGTCCTGTCCCTGGCCACCACAGAGCAGAGATCAGTCCCTGCCCCTTCTCTTCCCCTCAAGAAGAAGTTGTAACTGCAATGAGGTCTCCCCTCCATCTCCTCCAGGTGAAACAGCCTCACACAGCTTCCTCTCCAGACTTTTCCTCATCCTCATTGCCCTCCTCTGGATGCTCTCTAACAGTTTAATACTTTTCTGATTATTGTGGTGCCCAACACTTCACACAGGGCTCAAGGCAAGGCTGCATCCACACAGATGAAGTCTGGGGTTATTTTTATGATTTTTTTTTCAGAAAATATTTCATTATTTTTATTAATCCACTGGTTTTATTATTATGAAATTTTCGATATCAGGTGCTCAAATGACAGAGTCAAAAGTGTTACTGTGATCCCTCTTATGCTTTTTAGTATTACACCATTTATTTTTTTTTGGTGAAAGACAATTTCCCTGGCATCTGTGCAACTCTTGTACTTGAAAACTTAGGTAATAATCTTCAGTCTGGACTTAAGTATCATGGCCCTGACTAAGTCACTTCACTCCTGTTTATCCTTCTGTATAACATGAAGAGGAATTTGATTCTCCATTAATTCATTTGATATACAGGAGTACAGTAGAGTCTTTCTGTGTCACATATACTGACCAACATCTGTGTCATTACCCTCTTACTGAAATTCAAAGAATAAATGTTATTGGTAGACAATTCCTAGACAATAAGAAGATACACTATTCACCATCCTTCAGTTCATACCATTTTTCTACATTCTTGTTCATCTCTGTCTAATTTCGTTGCTTTTTCTTATTGCACTTTTGAACAATGGAAAGAAAAAAAAAGGAGATCATGTCTGCTTTAAATATTTATGAGTAATAATAATATGAGGCTTTGTTTAGGATAAAACACATAGAAGAGCAGCCTTTAACTAAAAATCAAAGCTAACTTTAGATGAGAGTCCATACTGTGTCATCTTTGCATAATTTCAAACCTTCCCTTGCTACAAGTCACAGGGACTCAATGCCATGACCACTTCCCAAAGCTGCTAAGGTTTGCCTTGTGCTTTACCTCACAGCCATTGTCATGTTTACCTGCAATATCTTGGAGCATCCACATGTTTGGGAAGTAGCTGGCTCACATACTTCTGGAAAAATGTGTCCTTTGCAATGATATATCACCAAAACCAGGCAAAAAAGCTGTACAAGTTATTTCACTGAATGGCCTTCAAAAGAAATAATGGAGTCTGTTGACAGGGTGAGCAAAATCAGCTGCAAGGGCAATGACTGGCTGTATAAAGTCATATCTGGCAGCTCTAAACTCATCTCTAACAGCACTGACCTGATAGACAAGAACACATAGTAATTTTTTCAGTTTGAGGTTCTTTTATTAGGATACCTAAGTGTGATATATGTCTCTAGCTTGCCAAAAAATATGGACAAAAGCAGAAATATTTAACATTTTTCCTGTCACTTTTTTTATGGACTTTTGCTTCAAATTTAAATCAGTTTTTGCATTTACCTGGAAATATTTTGTAAAACACTTGTATTTAATATTTCAGATATTCCAGTTTTTAAAGGGGGAACCAACCAACCATACTAAAGCCTATGTGTGAGGTTTTTACTGTTATCTTCCAACTTCAGTCTCTGCTTGTGGAGCCTCAGCTGCAGACAAGGGGGAAGTGTGTGCAGGCCAGAGACTTCAAGTCAATAGCTACAGGACAACTGGTTCTGGGAAAAGGGAACAAAGACTTGTAATAGCATGGTGGTACATCCAAGGAAAATTTGTAAAGCTTATTTTCATCACCATGGCATCGTGTGGATGTCAGAGTGGGGTTGGTTTGATCTTGTTGGAGCAACACTGCACTGCAGACACATTTTATTCTAAAAGAGCAGTCTGACCATTTTTTACCTTAAATTAGAGGAAATTACAAGAACACAGAGAAAAAGTTGATATTTTTAGCTTCTCCAGTACTATACAATTTGCAGCCCTCCTGTTGAAAAAAATAGTTCTGCTTTGTTATCCAGCAGTTACACCCAGACATTCAGGTTTTTTTCACTCAAGGAAAGCAGGTAAAAAAATAGTAACCTTTTCAGCAATGGAGATGAAATTCTCACATAGGTTCCTTTTGGTAATGCCATAATCCTAACAGATTTGCCTCATTTACAAGTAAATATAAATCCAAATAGAAGATAATTTAATGTCTGAAAAATGCATCAACTGCCCAAAGGATATTTATAAAATAGACAGGCAATGGCAATTTTGGAGGCTTTTTTCTGACTTTCTGGGCTTTTAGCCATTTCGTTCTTTCTGCTTTCCCTGCATCTTGCTGTGAAGTTATATGTGCCTCAAAGTTGGAAAGGACTGGAAAGTACACTTAAAAGAGCTGTGTCTGCTGGTTTTGAAGCTGAAGCTAATACCGATTTTTTCTTCCTCAGCAAGTGAAACGCTAGTAGTGATACAGTTGTTTTCTCAAATCTAAAAGTAAGAAAGAAAAATGGCAAAGCCAACCATTGTAAGCTTTGGTGACAACAAACCCCCAGCCAATTAAAGAGACCTTACTGCTGCAGGGGTCAGCATTTATAGCTCTCAGGTAAATTCACATGTGAAAGGAAACTGTCAGGTCAGATTTTGCCACTGTGTGGAGTACCACTGCTGACAATAGAACAGGAATAGTTCTTTTTTTATCCATAATTCAACCCGATTTACATCAATAAATTCAGTTGTACTGTTAAGACTTAGTGTCCCATTGCTTCAGAATGAAATAAACTTAATGAAAATTGTGCTTCATGAAACATCTCTGTATAATGTTATTTTTAGAGATCTACTTATTCCCTAGGCTCAGCCACTGGTCCAGGATAGACTTGCAAGATGGATTATATCATCTGTATGTCAAGGGATCGGGAATAATAATGCCCAGTTTTGCAGTCATTTACTTTCTTTTTCTCTGAAACTGAAAGAGAGATATAAAACATTTAGAAAAATATCAACAAAACAAGTAAAAATACCCTCTAAAGCAAATATATATCATAATAAAATACACAAGATGAGTTAAATATAGAGGTAGATGACTTGAATCCCTGATAACTAGACAGCCACTCTATCCCTTGTTGGAAGTTATTCCTGGTTTGACCCTCACATCAGAATAAAGAATCACCAATTCCTTTAACTTTATCAGGCATTTTTCAATTTGCAATTTAACTCTTCTTCTGTGCATAGTGGGTGATATGCACTGATGCCTTGGTATTTTGCTACTTTTTATATTCTTTTATCAAGAATTATTTATGATTTATAAGATGTTTTTGAAAATATGACATAATTGAATAATTAAGGATTTTCAGCCTCTTAAAAATAGGATTAGCTATAGGCAGCTTTTGCTGCATTACATTTTCAAGATCTATAGTTTGCAAACATGAAGGGGACCTTTATATATGGAATTGAAAATTAATGCTATTGAATGAACTGGGTGACATAGTATCTCAAGAAAGGGAGATTTATAATAATGGTTAATATTCCAACAAAAAAAGCCATAATGAAATCTAATGTTTGAAAAATGAAGCTGCAGGGATTCATATTAATATTGAAACATAAAAGTTTAATCAAAGACAATTAATTACACAAACTAGCCCTAAAACATTTGTTGTAGTTTTAAATCAAAACTGAACATCTTTCAGAAGTCTACAATGTAGATAGAATATTGCAATTATGTGCCTGAGACAGATATCTAACAGTTCTTCTGTCTTGGGAAATCTATGAAACAACCATTAGTTCTTACAGTGTCTTACAATTTAAGTAATTAAAACTGTCATTGATATTTTGATTGATAGGGATTTAAAAATTCCATGAATGAAGTAGCATTGTTACATGTTTGAGAGCTCAGTTACAAAATGTCAAAACCCAGTTTGCCAACATAGATTTGGCAAAACATAAATTGAACAAATCCAACTACATTTTTGTGTCACCAGTAAATGATATCCCTCAGGCTAACCAACACAGTGCAATATTATATAGATGTTCCTGATGGAGAAGGCAATAGGGATTTATTAAAAAATTTTGACTGACTGCTTAATATATATATATATATATAAAGAATGGAATATAACTTCGTAAATTTAATTTTAGACAAATCAGTTTTTTCTTGGTTGAAACTTCAAAAATATTCATGGGAAATTTCAGCTTACATCACTAAGGTGGACTAAGAAACACCTTATGGTAAGGTAAGAATTAAAGTATGGTAAGGTAAAAATGTTTTTTTACAGAAGAAAATATTGATCAGTCTTATCTGTAGATAAAATTAGCTGCAAGGTTTTGCTATTTAACATTTACAGAAATTTGTCTTAATTCAGACTGAAACAAGATTATTTATTTTAGCCAACCACGTTTGCTCATTTTGAGAGGGATCGGTCTTATCCATCCTCCTCTCTCATACAGCCTAGTCCAAGCAAGTCATGCATCCTCAACAGGCAGTGGTAGATTTCAGACAGATTTTCAGAGATTGATTTGTCCTGTCGAGGTCTAGAGATCAAGATGGCAAGTATACAGCTTCTAGAAGAGCTTCTCCCTTGCTGACTATAAAAACAGCATCAGTGATAAGCCTAAACTGAACTTTCAGCTTTAAAGTTGCAAAAGCGTTATATGAAATTCCAACAGTTTACGATCTTTCTTAACAAGCCATAAGAAATATTTGGCAGATCACAGCCCAGTCCTCCAACATATGCTTGTGTGAATAAATTCTAATTCATGCAAATGTGTATGTACACAAGTGTTTGCAATGGAGCTCTTCCTTCCGTAGTGGAATGACAGTGGTGGGTGGCAGAGCCACGACTGTAGCAGTCCTCACCTTCCCTCTCAGACCCAACAGCGAGCTCTCTGACAGAGATCAGTGTTTTCTTACATAAACAACTTTTGATTTTACCTTCATGCTTCTCTATGAACTAAAGTGAAACTGCACTAAGCCTCTTCTACAGTAAGTTCAACAATAATGACCGGCATCAGATTCACAGTGAATTGTTGGTTTGCTGGTAGCATATTGAGCCAGAAGCCCTTCTAAAGTCAAATTAATTTATCTACAATGTTTTAAATCTACCTGTGTTGCTTTGAGTTATCCTGAAATTTTGCTGATAAAATAAATATTTGTGTTCTCTAAGTAGATTGCAAAAATAATTAATGTAGTCTTTCATTATTGTATTAGCAGCTGCTTATACAAATGTATTGGAAGTGGAAGTTGTTCTCCAAACTTTTCATAGCATTAAATAGAAACTAATTGTCATCTAAATTCCCCATTGACAGCCACTTTATCATGCAAATTCACTTGTTAGTATCCTCAGTTATGCGCGAACAGAGTAACAGGTGGAACAGTGCAAATTTAGGAAATATCTAAAATAACTCCAACACTTTGTGAATGGAAAATACTGCTGCAAGTGAAGCCATTCACTGATTAGATGATGAAGGAGAAGGTGAGAGGCATGTTAACCTTAGTACCACAAATGTATCATTTCCTTTACTGAAGGTGAGTCCAAAATATCCACTAGATCAATCCTCACTGAAAGGTAAAACCGTCATATCCTAAAGGGAAAAGTAATTAACTTTGTTTGCATCAAATATCTGTCAGCAAATTAACTAAAAAATATAATTCAAATCAATCAGCAAAGTACAGAAGAATAAAGGAATAACGTGCAATTTTTTCAGTAAGTTTTGATCAGGAATTACCACATTGAAATTTATTCAACTACAAATTTAAAACTTGATTTAGTCATTTATTATTTCTCTCTAATCAATGGATGGAAATTGGCATTTACAAAGAACCAGCACCTATCTTAATAGGAGGGAAGAGAAACTTCTCTTCCTGTGTTGACTCTGAAGATTCTAACAAACTAAATACCTGACTTTGAGATGGCTGCTTCATTTCCTCAGCACCAGGAGTTATTTCTACTGATGAGACAGGATCTTTCAACCATGTTTAATATACAGTCTAAACTTCTCATCACTCCCTTGTTTTTTACCTTGCCATAACATAACCAGAGTTTTAGGTGCCTTAAGGGATATGGCTAACTCCTGCCCAGGGTCACTGTTCTGCAGCTGCACGCAGCCCAGCCTGATGTGCAGAGAAGGTGTTTGCCAAGGATAACCTGCTGGAAATTTGGCAGTGATAGGCAGTCTCAGGGCCTGCAACACCACACGAAACAACAGAGTAAGACAATTACATCTCCTTCCCTCCAGACTGTTTTTCTCCATGTTAAATGCCAGATAAGCTGGAAATGTCTTAAGAATGAATGGGAATAACTGGGGGTTTGCTTTGATTTCTTGGTCATCATTGAATACAGTATCTACTGATATTCTTAGAAGCTCTGGAAATTAAGTATGATTACTTTTCCTTTCCTCTGCTAGCATATTTTTGGTAGCTACAAAATTAACCTTATTTTTTCCTTAAATCTTACTTTTAAAGTTTAATTTTACTCTGTAAATGTATTTTTCTTTCATAAATCTCAAAACTCTAAGAATCCACCCACCTCAGACAGTTGTCCAGAAGGTGATAATCCTCCAAGTATGTGCTGTCCTACAACATCAGCTGAAAATAAAAACTATCATCCATGATCATTCCTGGGCCCTAGTCAAAAATGACTCCTTCAATTTTTGATGTTTCCCCAGGAAACATGAATTAATATGTTATTCCTTTTCATTCATGTTAAGCTAGTGAGGAACATTTGTACTTCAAATGGATCTGCAGTTTCTGTAGGTATATACAATATGCCTGTTCCTGAATGGGATTTTTCCTGAAGATAATTGTTGATATTTATTTTTTTTAAAAAAAATATTTCCCCTGTATGAAGTGAGGGTCGATGATGCATGAGTGATCACACAGAGGGAGATACTGAGATGTGAAGTAGCAAGTATGTATTTGACAACAAAAATAATTCAGAATTAAAGTATGTTTATGCTGTGTTGAGAGCGAGGGACTTACAGAAACAGATTCAGGGACAGAAAAATAAGGAAGCAAGTAATTTATATTTATTTAGGGGGGATGATGAAAGGGATAATGTGCATTACTTTGATGAACTGGCAGTTGCCTTAACAGATCTGTTGAGTCATCTGTGTGGTACCATGTTGAGTGTATTGTTAGGTGGCACTACAATCACAGAAAGACTTACTGAGCAGAAGTAGATTATGTAAAAGAAGAAACTTTTAAATCCCCATTAGAATTCTGCCTGAGACAGTAAATCCAGGTTGTGTGCTCACTGTTTGGAAGTCTCGAGTGACCGACAGCCTTGGTGTGTAATGCAGTATTTGGGGTAACAGCACAGTAGGGAGCTCAGCTGCTCGGTGTCACACAGCCTCAAGTGTGGGCTGGCTGGGGCAGTGAAAGCTGCCCTCCTGGAAATCCTCTCCACACACAGCACTGCAGAGCCAAAGCAGCAGCGATGTTCACTTGTAATAGTGAGTGAACAAAATACAGCACCAGGACAATTCTTGCTATGTGTTGTGACCCAGTTTAATGCACTACTACACTGTCTACTGAAAAAAACAAGCAAGTTTTTATTTTGTTTATTATATAATGTGGATTATAGGTTAACTGAGATGATGACATGAAGCTGAATTTGGACTAATTTTCAGTGGGAACGGAAGCCCAAAGGAAATCAAGCTATATGAAAACAGTAGGCATAACTGCAGCCTTTTATTGCAGGAAATCAATGATTCCTGCTGAATTAAAATGTTTTTATTATTCTGCTTTGAACAAAGATTTTGTAGAAGATTAAGTAGACGTGTAGGCATTGCCTCAACTTCTTTGAGGGTAAATTTGAATTCTGGCACTACAGTCAAGATAATTTACCTGGTCTAAGGACATGACTTCCTGTCAATACTAAATTCACGACCCTTTGTCTGGATAAAGTAATAAATTATTTCAGTGGAGGCAGCACCTGATTCTTTAATTAAACAGATCAACAGTAT